TCGGAAGAACCGAGACCTAAGAAATGGCCACCTGAGGCGTCGAGGTCCGAGAAGGCCAGGCTGCAGTGGAGGTTGGGAGGAGAGATCTCGGGAGCCGAGGCCGGAACCCGCAGAAACGGGCGACAAAAGCCAACACCTCCGGCGGCTAGGAGCCGGGACGCGAGAGTGCCAACACAGAGAACTGAGGTGCCAAGGCTTAAGGGGCACGAACCTAAGGAGACAGGCCGGCGGCGCCATTTTGTGACCGCAAGAGAGGACAGTGTCCAGGCTCCGGGGGAGGCGCGGGTAAGCCTGGCACTGCCCTGGCCCTTCCCCGTCCCTCTCCACACAGAGCCCGACCACTAACCCTACCGGACCCACCTGTGTAGCTCATGGCAGCACCGACCACTGAATCCGAGGACTCCGGCAGCGTCTCCGCTCGTCCCACGCTGCGATAGCGGCAATAATCCCCCCGGCCCTTTCTACACACAACCGAGCTCCGCCTCCCGACCGCATTGGCTCACTCTGGGCTCTGTATTCACGCCTATTGGGTCATCTCACTGTCTATCTCACCTCATCCCCATAGCAATGGTTAAGGGTCCTGCCAATCCCATGAGATCCCCGCCCTGTCCCGCCTCCCGTTATTTCGAGCCCGCGGTGATTGGCTGAGAAAAGCCGGTCTGGAGGCGAAGTCCTGTGAAGTTCGAAGGGGCGGAGCCATGCACTACGGAAAGACCTGAGGCTCAAACGCAGCCGGGTGGGAGGCGATCCTGTGACCTGGAGGCCCACCAGAGGGAGCAGGGTCTACAGCGCAGGGCACTGCTCCAATCCCGACTCTGCTACCGGGGTGCTGTGCCAATCTGGGATAAGTTTCTAACATCTCTGGACTTCAGCTCCGAAACTAGCACGGGAAAGCCATGTTGGAATGAAAATTACAACTAGTCGCCAGACAAGATGCTGGGCACACGTTCAAACATATGAGATAATGTAAAGAAATCAGTCCAGTGCCGAGCGCACTAAATAAATGTCACGTTTTGTTATCAATGGTTACATAACAAATATATTTATATAGCATGTTTATATTATATATTTAATAAATGTTTGTATTGTTTATCACCTCGAATGCTCCCTCATACCTGCGAGGACTTTAAAAAAAAAAATTATCAAAAGAAAACTGAGACTTGGAATTCAAGACTTGCTCAAGGTCCCTGACACGTGTTAAAGCCGGAACTCTCCCCTCTAAAACTCTCTTGATTCTTCCCGACTTTAGAGATCCTGCAGTGGCCCAGCCAGGCTCCAGCCCTGTCCTCAGCACCCTCTTTGGATGTGTGGAATCCACTGTCAGAGACATTGCATAACTTTTAAGATTACTTGACAGAGCTGCAGACACTGAAAAAGGTACTTAATGTATTTGTGAAAAGTCATCAAACTAGACGTGTTCACTTTTTTTCTGCTTTACTTAAGTTTGTTAAAGTATGCCGTTTGCTGGTTTTTTATTAGAGAAGCATCAATTTCTTTAGGTGTAATAATGACCTACAGAAATAGAGTAATTGATCTGACGACCAAAACGTGCTTCACCATAATTCAGATGGGGAAGGGGGAGTGTGAAGGGGTTATAGCTGAAATAACTGAAGAGATTAGTAATGAGTTAATAATTGATGAGTAGCTGAGCATTCATTGTACTATTCTTTTGTAGGGTTGGAATTCTCCACAATAAAATGTTAGCAAAACAACTCCTCTCTGCAAAATGGGGTTTCTGCAGAACTTGCTGCCACATGGGACAAGGTTTATGATGCATTGACAAACTCCATATATGAAGCACATAAAACCGATTGATGTGCACTTCAGCTTTGGGGCTCATTTGTATCACCTTCAGGGACACCTGCCTGTCTTCCAAATTAAAGCAGTCCCCTGGAACTTCTCCTGGGGAGCTTCCTTCATGGCACATAACACAGCCATCATTTTTACCCTTTGATGATTTTAACATCTAACCCTTTGCCTCTGAACAGAACAGCTTAAGAAGGGGCATGTCCAGAAGTTTTAGGAAAAGACTCCTCTGTAGTAAGAACTGTATGTGACCCTTTCAAGGACTCACACAGCTATCATTACATGATTGAGGGGCTTCCCATGTTACTTTATAAGTTCTTGCATCATCTGAACTTTTTATACATCCAGCTTATCATCACTTTTATACTTTTTTTCACTAATGTGTAAAAAGCAGAATGAAGTGCCTTTGGGTCAGCTCTCATCTCAAGAGATAATCTTGCTGCTTTCAAAGTCTCAGACATGCCCACCCACAATGTAGGAATGACAGCACTGGTTGAGGCCTTACTTCACCAGGCAAATTATGTGCCCTGACCTCCCACAAGCATAAAAGCCAAGTGTGCAGACCAAGACCACTCCTGTGGGCATGTTGTCACAGCTTCTTGGCCCCTCCTTCCCAGGTGGGTGCACAGTGGGGGCCAGGGTAACAGGATTTGGGGCTGGAGAGGTCTCTTCTGTCTAAACCTCATGAGGTCATTCCCACTTTCCAGCCCTTGGCTGTTTAAGTGAAAACAATTAGCTGAAAAACCACATGCAATAAACAAGGAGCAGCCAACAAAATCTCTTAAAATCTCAGAAATGTTCAATAAACATTTGCAGAGCGAGAAAATAAATAACATTGCAGAGGAGCCAGCAGCTCCCTTTTCCCCCTCATGTTACTGGGGTTCAGGGAGCATGTAACTCCCGACAAGTCACATGTCTTGAGGGCAGGCCAGTCCCAGCTCTCTGAAGGCTCCCAGCAGCTTTGTACTCCTCCCTCCCCCAGCAGGTCCCCTACACTGTCGCTGGACAGCTCCTGCCTCAGAGAGCCCTTCAGCCTGTCGCTTCTCCATCCTGACTTCCTTCCTGGATCAGCTCCTCTGCTCACAGGAGCCACTTCACCAACTGGCCAGAGCCCCTAAACATGTCACTGAGGGTCAACAGCTGGGAACTTGGGCTCATCTGCAGCTGAGTCTGGTTGGCTTGGTGGCCAGTGGGAAAACCCAGGGCTTCTGGGGGCTCTGGGTGAAGGAGACTACTTGATCCCAGTCTTAGCTGCCAGCCGATGCCAGCCTGTCCACTCTACAGAAAAACACACGCTGGCCGCCTGCCCCGGGGTGTTTCCAGAAGAGAAATTTAATCTAATTTACATACTTCTAGGTACATTGATAACCAAAATGTGGCCACTGAAAAAAGTTAAAAGATTGATCAGCTCCCGGTTTCTAGCTGGCCCAGGATTGCAAAATAAAAAGATCCACGTTCCTTATTCTCTACACAAAACGCGTTTTTAAAAAAGTGAAAGGTCTAGGGAGCTATACATAGAAAGGAACAGTGAAAAGAGAGAGGGGGGTGGAGGTGGGGAAGGAGAGTCCCACCCCCACCCCTCCAGGGCCCGGAGCCCCTGAGGCTCTGGGGGGCCTGGACATGGCAGGAGGCAGCTGTCAGCTCTGAGCTCTTCCCAGCTAGGAAGGCCCCTCTGGGGGAGCGTGGCCAACAAGGATTTCCGTGGCATTGTGGGCTCAGTGGAGGCTCCCAAGCCCCGGTGGGCCAGCAGAGGGAGCGTGCCTTCCCCTGAGCAAGCACCGTGGCATGACGTGGTTGTTGACTCGGGAACTGGGGGGCTGGGGCAGATCCCGGGTTCTCACGAGGTGCGTGTGTGCGTGCATGCGTGTGTGTGTGTGTTCGCGTGTGCGTGCGTGTGAGAAGATATTAACGAGGGCAAGAAGGACAGGGGGTCTTTGGGGTCTTTGCAAATGGCCACGGATGGCAAACAGAGCCCCACCTGGCTGCTAGACTCAGGGGAGTGCTGGCATTCCTCCCCTGTGACAAGATCTCCTGCCACCAGGGACCTGGCTGCTGCCCACACTAGGTGGGCGTGGGCTGAAGGAAGATGCCCTGGGTGTGGCCCCAGAGTCCTCAGGCTGAAGGAAGGGTGCTCCGGCTGTAGTGTGCCCGGCCCCTGAGGGTGCCGGTTTGAGGTTTTGGCTTGCTCCTTTGGGAACGGAAAAGAAAGAGGGAGAAGGAGGAGGAGACCGAGGAGTTGACAGAGGTGGCACAAGAGGGATCTGGAATGCTTTTGTGTTAGGGCGCCTCTGCCGCTGCTGTCTGTGATGGTGGGGCCTGGGGATCCTCGGGCGGGGGGTCCGCTTTGGAGAAATTCATCTCCAGGATGTGCCGCTGTAAGTGCCGCACCCATTCCTCTTGGATGGAGAGGGGCCCCTGGAATTCCACCTCACAGAACCTGTGTGGGGGACAGAGAGAGGGAGGAGTGGCCAGTGCAAGGAGAAGAGCTGAATGAGTAGCATGGCCACACTCTGAGAGTCTGGCACATCTGCTGCTGCTCAGTGTGGACAGAGCAAGCCCAGGATTTGAGGGAAATGGGCCCAGAGCCAGATGTTCTCCCATGGACAGCTATCTCTACCCTTCATGGGGTATTGGTGGAGTCTACTGGAGTCCCCATCTCTATGCTCAGGGCATTCTGCTGGTTCAGTGCTAGGTGCAGGCCACCCAGCTTCTTAAGCACTTCCTCCACCTGACTAGAGCATGTGCACTGATCAGAGAGAACACAGAGCAGCAGATTCTGCTCCACCAAGCTCCAGGACAAAAAGATGGAGCTGGGGAAAAGGGGGTTGGGCACTAACATCCTGCTCATGCATCCAACTCACCAGCTCCCTGCCCTTGCGGCCTTCAGGGAGATCTCACAGTACAGGGGATCTAAACCTAAGCTTGTGGCTGCAGAGACGTGGGTTCAAATCCTACTTCTGACCTGGCCTATGTGACCTGAGGTGACCCCTTCACATCCCAGACTCCCAGTTTTCTACCTCTGATGTTTACCTGGACTTTGATAAGAATGAACTAAGACCTGTTCTTTTCTTAATCATGCAGAAGCTTGCTGAAGGCTTACCGTGTGCCAGGCACAGTTTGATTACTTTATAAATATTCAACTCTATTAATCCCCATAACAAATCAATCAGGTAGGTCTGCTATCAATCCCACTGTATAGCTAGGAACTTTGAGGAATGGAACAGGAAGTCCTTGCCCAAGGTCACCAAGCTGCTAAGTGTCAAGGTCTCGCTAACTTTACAAAATTCAGGGTCCAGCCCAAGGCTCTGAGGCACCTCTTTCTGTGAAGAGCCCTTAGCCTGGACCCAAACTGCCCTGGGGCATCTCTGAGGCTCCTTCTCCAGACCCCAAGCAGCCCCTGTACTGTTTAGAGGCTCTAGGTAGACAAGCTCCAGGCGAGTGGCCTCTCTCCCTCCCCCAGGGGCCTCATACCTGCACTTGAGGGTGTAGATGTTGCCGACGAACTTGACCAGTGACGTCTGGGGAGGCCGGGGCACCAGGGAGGGGACCGGTCGGACTCGGGGAGGGGGCTGCCGCACCTCCTCCAGCTTCTGCTGCATGTCATTGATCTCCTCACCTCCCCTGGCTGCAGAGGCATCTGCAGGGCGAGCTTGTCGGCGCTCAAATTCTGAGGTGGGAGAGGGGAGAAGAGGAATGGAGGATAGCTGGAGGGCGAGGCCCCTGGAGAGGCTGCTGCCTTCAGCAAATGATGAGCGGTCACTGTGGAGATTTGTAAGACAGGCCAGCTGGTGACTGGATGCCACCTGGCCCAGTGACAGGTGGGATGGCAGATGAATGAGTAAACGAGTGAGCAACCAACTGAGGAAGTGACTCCAGGGCAGAAGCACAGCGGAGAACCGAAGGGGCAGCCAAGTGGACCTGCCAGTGCCCACCGCCCTCACAACCTTCCACCCCCAAACACTCACTGTTGATGTTCTGCCGCTGGTGCTCCTCAGCCTTCACAGTGCCTGGTGGGCTGGCTGCTAGAGGCCGCTCACCACTGTCAGCTGCCCGGCCAGCCTCCGGCCCTGGCTCACCCCCAGCACTGCGGCCCACCACAGCCAAGCCCCCGGGTGCCAGCCCTAGGGGTGGCCGCTTGTCGCTGTCACGGCCATGGCCAGCACTACGGAACTTCTTGGTGAAGGGGCGGCCGCCCTGGATGTAGCTGCGGTAGGCGCCCACCTTCTGGGGCCGGTGCTTGATCCACTCGCTCAGCGTCTCAATGGGTGAGCCGTTCACACACCACTCAGTCACGCCGAACTGCCGCAGGTGCGCCCGCGCGTGGCTGGCCAGGGCCTTGCGGTTTTCGAAGTAAAGGCCACACAGCTCACAGCAGGCCTCGGTGGCTGCAGGCAGAGGGGGCGCTGCTGAGCCTCAGCCCCAAGGGAGCAAGGATACCCAGAAGGCGCCGCCCAGGTCGGGAGCCAGTCCCGCCTCCCACTGGTGCCTTGACCCCCACAGGGGGTAGGCATGCGTGTGACAGTGCCCGGCCCTGCAGGCCCCGGCAGATGCCCTCCCGGGACCCTGCCACCCGCTGCTTACAGGAGTGGGAGGTCTTCTCGTGGAGGGTCTTTGCCTTGAAGGGCAGTTCAGTCTGGATGTAGGTCTTGGCCTTGACCTCTGCAGGGAGGAGGCGGTCCTCCTGCAGGGGCCGCTTGGCTGCCACTGAGCCCAGGTAGCTGGTGGCTGAGGGCTTGGCACCGGTGATGGGTGCGAGGCTGAGATCGCGGGGTACCTGGGCTGGCCCAGCTCCTGGTTTGCCCGGCCGGCCAGCCATGGGCGCCAGCGGCAAGAGGGGCTGCACAGGCCCAGGAGCTGATGTGGGGGGCCCATCCTCAGCCAAAGCAGGGGCCAGGTCTCCGGCTGGCGGCTCCTTCTTGATGAGGCATGGCTTGGACTTCTTCTTAAGGATCTCTCGCAGTGTGTCGATGGGTGAGCCATTGACAGACCACTCAGTCACACCCATCTGTCTCAAGTGGGAGCGTGCGTGGCTGGACAGGCCCTTGCGGTTCTCAAAGAACTCACCACAGAACTCACAGCGAATGTCACGCACTGGCTCTGCCCGGGATGCTGCACGGGGTCGAGGGAGGGGAAAGAAGAGGGCAGTGGCTGCTAGTAGGAAGCATCCAAGCTCAAGGCCACTGTTAAGTGCCTGACTGCCCTGTCCATGCAGCCCCAGACTCAAAGGACCTGCTCCTTCATCTTCCTCCAGGGACCCTTTTGTATGTTCAGCCCTTCTGCTTGTTCTGTCACTTCAAATTCTAGCCGACTTCAAGAAAACTCCTTGTGATATGGTGACGTGTGAAGGAGCAAGTGCTCCCTTGATCCTGGGCTCAGATGCCAGCATGGCTATGACCCTGTGAGATACTGGGCAAACCACTTCCCCTGAGCCTCAGTTTCTTGCTCTGCAAATGGAAACCTCCACCCGCCAGTGTCACTAGAACAGCCTAAAGTGGAGCCTGGAGCAGCTGGCAGGAAATCAAATGATGAGTGTTAAGGCCTAGGGCTGGGCCATCTCACCTGCTGGGCACACAGCAGGAGGTCAGCCAACTGGACAGTTCAAGAGAAAAATGAGTGATAGGGACATTACAACCACTGCATACACACAGCTTTGTTTAACTAGGTACACCGTGCTAAATATTTTATACCACTTCAGAAAACTCTAGAGTAGGGATCATGCTGATCTCCATCTTTCAAAAGAGGAAACTTGCTCAAGTTCACATATTGGTAGGCAGTGGAGCAGTTGTAATCCTAACTTGAACCTGACTCCAAATGTCAAGCACTCAGTCACCACAAATGTCAGAAAGACGGTTTAGATACCCACTTCTGATGGGTCTATAGTTCTGCCCATAGCAGACATCACTAATGGACCCCTGTAGTCTTTCTCCTTGGGAATCTACTAATCGACTGATGCTGGCACGAGAGATAGAATCTTTTTGCCACCACTGAATGCAAGAATGAAGAAGAATAAAGAAGCAGCTCAGCTGGAAATGCACACAGCAGGACCACACAGTTAGCCCCTTGTCCTCTGAACCTGTGTATCCTCCCTTCTATTTCAACTCTGGGCCCTCTAGGTACCCCCAAGTGGGAGGAGGCGACTCCCCTATCTGTTCTCCCTGCCTTGCCCCAGGGTCACACTTACACAGGTTCAGGGGAGTCATGTCTTCCCGCGGCGCTGCCCAGGGACCTTCGGACAGGTGTGGCTCCCCATGAAGGGCCCCTGGCAGCATCTCACGCTTGATCTCCACCCGCATTTGTTCAGGCTTCAGCTTCTTGGTTAGGGAGGGTGCAGCCAGGCCCGGGAACATCTTTCGGGCCGTGGGAGGAGGAGAGGCAGTCGGTGAGTGGCCCAGGGGGCTGCCTGGTGGTGGTGGCAACTTCTTGGCCAGGGGCGAGAGGTGAAGGTCTGCAGGGCTGCGGGCTTCCAGAGAGCTGCCTGGACCTCCGCTGCCCACCACCTTGGCCAGGGATTTTGGGCTGGGTCCGGGCGGGTTAGGCGGTCCACCGGGCCGAGACTGGGTCCGTCTCTTGAGGATCTCCCGCAGTGTGTCGATGGGTGAACCATTGACGTACCACTCAGTCACACCCATCTGCCTCAGGTGTGAGCGTGCATGGCTGGACAGGCCCTTGCGGTTCTCGAAGAACTCGCCGCAGAACTCACAGCGGATATCGCGAGCTGGCTCTGGGCCTGAGGCTGCAGCGGGAGGAGAAAGGGACAATTAGCACCATGGGCACCATCAGCATCATTACCTGCGGGTCTCCTGGTCAGCTGGGCATGGGCAGCAGCATGCCCACAGGGTGGGGCGGTGGTAGAGGGCAGGTGTAGGCCAGGGAGCTGAGGAGTGGGGCAGGGGCCTGACACCTGGCAGGAGTGAGGGGAAGCTCTTGGGAGCCATGGGCCCTCAGTCCTGAGAGAGAAGGACAGAACCAAGACTCCACCACTCTGCGGGTCCCCACACGGACTGGGGCAGGAGGGCAGGAAGTGGCAGCCTAAGTGCCACGTGCCATCCAGACCAGGGACAACCATGGGCACCTTCCACACCAACAGGCAGCACCCCACCCTTGGCCTTCATTCTCAGGGAAGGTCACGGTCATGGAGGTCAAAGGCCAAGAGAGAGGGCCTAACAGCCGACTGCTAACGAGATCTCTGGGCAGAACCAGCCCACTGCTAAGGGCCCCTATCTACTCCCTTCCCCAGCAGGGAGGGAGTAGGAAGGGGACCATGACCCCCCCAGGGGGGGGGGCTCCAGGGCCCGCAGGGAGGAGGGGGCGGCTGAAGCGAGAACCTACAGAGGTTGAGAGGAGACGGCTCCACATCAGAGGCCCAGAAAATGCCGGCGGCCGAGAGGTCCTGCTTCCCCCAGGGGCTGGCCGTACCCGCGGCCTTCAGCTTGGCCTTCTTGGCCGGCGGTGGGGGGGGGAGCAAGGAGAGGGCCGCGGAGGCGGGAGGAGGCCGCCCCAGCTGGGCCAGCACGCCGCGCCCGGGTGGGAGGCGATTCTGGACGCCGACCCTCCTGATGAGCCCGTGGAGCACGTCTATGGGGGATCCCTTGGCATCCGGGTCGCTGACGCCCAGGTGGCGCAGGTGGGCGCGGGCGTGGCTGGACAGGCCCTTGCGGGTCTCAAACCAGGCACCGCACAGCTGGCAGTCCAGCTCTCTGCCCCCGTCACTATCTAAAGCTGCGGAGACAAAACACAGGGGGGGTTCACGGCCGCCACCTTGGCCGGCCCTGGGGGACTGAGGCAGGAGGGCCTGGTATGATTCTCAGCTGCCCAGGCCATCCAGGGGCCAAGACTCATGCCGCAGATTGATTTTAAGAGGTTCTGGGAGGCAGGAAGCCCTCCTCTCTGCCTGGCTCTTTGGCATTAAGGTGAGTGTAGAGATCTCAAGGATGTGGAGTAGAGAGGCAGTGGCCCAATTCCAGGGGTCCCATCTGATGCTCCCAGGCCCCTGTCCCTGGAACCCCAGCTATGGGAGCTAGCTATACAAGGTGGGTAGCAGGTACAAAGCAGGGACCCACCCAGCTGCCCACCATCATGCAGCTGAAGGCACACCTGCTCAGAGCCCTGCTCCTAAAAGCACAGACTGTGAAAGCAGCTTTATTGGAACCTGAGGCGCCAACTGGGGTGCCCCATTGGGGGGCGGGGCAGACCCTGGGCTCATCCCCAGGGTCTAAGGGCCACCAATATGTGGGAAGGCCTGACTTCCCGAGTTAAACCTGCTCACCGTGCCTGGGGGTTTCTTCCCACACTCCACCTAGCCAGGCCTACTGGCAGCCCAGAGGCACAGCTCCACCCCCAGCACAGTCAGAGGTGCCTCTGCGCAGCACTGCTGGGCAGGATCATAAGATAGGGCCAACCATGGACCCTCCTGTCAGGTGGACCACTTGTCTACCTGCAGGACCCAAGATGCCCAACTGGAACCCTGGTTACCTTCCCTGCCCCAACCCTCAGGCCCAGAGAAGGCCAAAAGCTACCCTTAAGTGGCAAGTGTGACCCTAGCTGGCTCAGCAGCTGTGGCCAGGCCTCCGGGGGAAGAAGAGCAAAGTGGGAGACAGGTGATAATATGCAGCACAGCCAGCCCAACAGGAGACACAGCACCAACACTGACCCAGTCAACCCAGGACGCAGGAGCTGCGATCCCCGTTGCCCCCACCCTGGGCCCCATGGCCCAACTCGAGGCCCCCGCTCTCCCAGTGCCAAGACCTCCCTCAGCTCCCAGGACCCAAACTCACTGAGGTTCAGGGGCCCCTCGTCCTCAGACTGAGGCCACTGTGCCTTTGGGGAGGCTGGCCGGGGGCTCAGGGACAGCTGGGGGCTCTTGTCCTCAGGATTCTTGGGGGTAGGGGAGCCCGTCAGGGCCAGTGGTGCCTTCTTGAGGAGTGGGGAGCTGGGTGGGTGGGCCAGGCCCTTGGCTGAGAAGCCAGGAGGTGACTTGATGGCCTTGTTGACAGCGGGGACGTCCAGGGGCTTGGCCAGAGTGAGCAGGCCCTGCCGGGGAACCCCAGCAACCACCTCCTTCGGCGAGCTGGACTTCTTAGTCAGGCCCGGGGGCAGCCCGAGGGGTGTGTCGGGCAGGCCCTTCTGCTTCACGAGCTCGTAGAGAAGGTCGATGGGGGCACCGCTGCTCTCGGACTCAGCCACACCCAGCTGCCGCAGGTGGGACCGTGCGTGGCTGGACAGGCCCTTGCGTGTCTCAAAGCAGGCACCGCAGACCTCGCAGGTGGTCAGGCTCTGGGCTGAGGGTGAGACGAAGGCCAGGAGAGCCAACTGTGAGGCCCTGCGGGCTTTGCTCTCCCATTTCTTCTCCCTTGGGGCCCCCACTCACCCAAGCTCCTTGCAAGGGCTTTGCTTCTATCATGCCCCCGTGATCCTTAAAATGACCCTAATGAGTCAGGAATTGGCCTGTACAGTTTGCAGATAAGGAAACTGAGTCTCAGAGAGAAGAGCTGTGCCCAAGGGCACACAGCAGGAAGCTGAGTCCTTCTGTGGTCCAGCCAGTGGAACACCTTTTGGATCTCCAATATACCAGTGTCCTGGCAACAGGTTTTCATGCAACTGCTGACTTGCCAGCCACATGCTTCACAGAACTAAGTCCTGACCACTGTCTGCTGCTCAATTCAGGCCCCAAACACTGTGTTGGAGGCCCTACCTACAGCCCCTGTGATGCCCTGCACCTCTTCTGCAGAGTCCTTATCCTTGCCTTTCTGCTTCTTTGCCTGAGACAGGCAGAGACCACCTTCAGAGACCACTGACAGCAGAGACCACCTTCACAAACCCAAGGACAAGGGCCATCTCTCACATCCCTGGGGGCCAGCATCGTGCCTGTCACTACTCAAAAACAACCTGAGAATCAACACTCAGACACAGCAGTGTCATGAGAAAGATCAAATGCTAATGAGGGTCAAAGTCAGCCAATGAACCAGGTCTGAGTGTGAGCCCTTGACAACCATGCCTACTACCTCTCCAGATACCCCTCCCTCACCCAGTGAGGGTGAAGCTCAAGGCCATGTGTGTCCAGGGCATCAGCAGCTCAAGAGAGGAGACAGCTGGGTGTCTCCAAGGTGCCTTGGGGTACCAGAGAGAAAGCTGTGGCCAACCTGGGGCCCTGCATTAAACCCCAGACCCAAGAGGTCCCTGTGAGTGTGACCAGCCAGGCCAGCACCACCGCCCTGCCACATAGGCCACTCACCCTTGAGGTCCGGCAGCTCTTGCTTGCTGCTATGAGAAACCTCTGCAGCTACTTTGCTGCTCAGCCGATTGGCCACCTGCTCCAGGGGCCCGGGGACAGGCAGACTCTTCTTGGGGAGCTGGGGAGAGCCCAAGTCCATGGCCACCATGGCGTTTTCCTCAGAACTCAGGCCTGTGAGGTTGGGAAGACAGGCTCAGCCCAGGCAAGCCAGATTGTCTACCTCTATAAGGACTGACAGTGAGGGCAAGGTGGTAGGCGGTGACTTCTTCCTCATCCTTGGTGCCTGCTCTCACTCTAGGAGGTAGTTCACGCCATGAAAGCTGAGGCCCCATCCATAACCCCCAGAGCCACTATGACACGGAGACGTCAAGGCTGCCCACTGATGGCAGAGACCAGGAATAGCATCCAGCCCAGTCTCTGCACATCCAGGTCAGAGAACGCAGTGTGAGTGAGTCGAGACTCCTAATCTAGGAGATCTCAGAGAAAATCACTCTCTGGGCAGAATTTGTGGAGAAGAGCATCTGTCAGTCTTAGGGGGCAGGTTGAGGCAATCAGCAGGGGAATTTGGTAAGAGAAGGCCAGGGTTGGAGGCCACAGAGGCAATGCTGAGGTAGGAAGCCAAGGACAGGGAAAAGAGTCTCCAAGGGAACTGTGGGGAGTCTCCAACCAGAAAAGACGGCTGGGGCTGGGGCTGGCCTACTTATCACAAGCTGAGCCCTGAGTGGGGTAAGGTTAGAACAGGGAGCCTGTCTGGACCAGCAGGGATTTGACTGGGGATAGGCAGAGTGGGAATCACAGAACTTTGTAGAAAGTTCGTGAAGAATCCATCAGTCCAGTAAACTTCCTTGAGTGAGGTGTGTATGAGAACAGAGAATCATGGTGCATTTTCATGGTCTACTTTTTCAGAGAAAGGGACTTGAGAGGGCTACTGAGCCCCAGGTTTAGCGCTTACAGCATGGACAGCGCTCTGTGTGAAGAAACGGTGTGTCAGGGCTCTGGAGGCATTCACTGGTATGAGTGGGGAGCCTGGGGTCCCCTGCTCAGTTTGATTCCTACGGAAGCAAGGAAAAGGCAGGTAGAGGGGGCCACCAGGGCTGGGACACCGAGGACTTTGTCAAAGTCTGCGGGTGAAGTGGGCGCGTCTGTCAGATGGGAAAGGGATAGTGTCAGAGCTGAAGTGACATGAAGTGGGTTTCCGCGCTGGAGAGACCGGAACTGTGGCGAGGGACGCTACCGGGGCTCCAAGAGGAGCAAGGGGCATCTGTCAGACAGGACGAGGGTCCCACGGGGCGGCTGAGACGAATGATTTTGTAGCCCGGTACCCTGCAAGCGGCGACAGGAGGCCCGGGACCCGCGCGAGTGGAGGATCTGGGGGGAGGGGGCGTCCCGGAGACTAGACGGCGGGCGTCCGGAGCGGCGCTGGCAGG